GTTTTATTTTGGAAAATGTAAACCTTACTAACCATGCATACAAGTTAAGACAGTATCTTACAGTTCTTAATTTTCTTCCTTTTTCCATTTCTTCCTTTTATTGTTGTTGCATAGGACATTACCACAATATATAATCTATGCAATACAAAATACATAAAAAGTTACAGCAGAGCAAGAATAGATGAACATATAACTGTACAACTGTAATACTTCAATGTAGTGATCTAAAGACTTGACAAGTGAGCCATGGAAGCTTTCATGTGCTGCTGATAAACCTGTCCAAGTGAGGATGACACCAGCAGCTTTTCAGCCCCAAAGCTGAATTTTAGCTGTAACCACGAGTACATCCCTGGCACACGTGTCCTCTGTCCCCCACKCAGGTRTGTGCTGCTGGAAAAGCACATGTGYACACACACACATGGSCCCCAAATGCACAACAGACACAAGGAAACGCACCTGTAACCAGAGATGAAACTCAGCCACAAAGCTCCAACAGGTTCCAAAGTTCCAAATGCAATGGTGTTTGGATGTAGGAATTTGGTTCAGTTCCAATGGAATGGATACCTATTTTTGCTCTGTAGACATCCCTTCATTATTCAGCGTGTAGTACAGACACACTGCTGTGTATTTATGTATACACACATACACTATTCAATATACACACATATATGTATTTATATATATATGTGTATATGCTTATATAAATCCAYATATATAAATATATATATTTATAAAAACCTATACCAGTGGATGGCCTTTTGCATTCTATACTCTGGCTTATGGGATAAACAAGTATAATTTGGATATTTTCTTCTGCCTAAGGCTATAGCTCTTATCCCCAAGAGTTACAAATACAGATGTTCATCATACCATTCACTGACATAGACTAGATGTTAGCACCTAATGCACAAACAGATGGTGTGATGGAGTAAAAGAGCACCTGAAAGTTAGTTTGTAGGTATGACCTGATGAAATTAGTAAATCTAATGGTGATGAAAAGGCAAAAACTGCACTTCACAATGACAAATGGTGCTACTCATGACAAAGCACGGGAGAAGAGCAGCTGTGGAACAGGTAAGCTCCTCACACAACCTTTAATGCCTGGCTGCATGAGAGAAGGAAAGCACTGACAGTCTGGGTWGAGGTTAATAAGGTTAAAAGGTGTAGAGAGGCTCTCAAAGCTACAATTATTGCCAGGGTTAATGCAGTAAAGAGGGTGGGATACATACAGGAATTAGGTGACGACTTKTCATAAATATATACCTTTGCACTTATGTAAACAGATACTATGCATGTATTGTAAAAGCAAGGAACAATTTGCAGATACAAAAAATTCTCACAAATTCTAGCTGCCAGGAATTTACCACGACTGCTTTCTAAGAAGCAGGATGAAAACTGAATTCATGTTGCCATTAGGCCTTTGCACAGGATGAGGTTAATGGAATGGGAGGGTGGGTTTCTAAGAGTGTCTTTAGTTTCAGCTGGGGTAGGGGGTAGTGAGGTGATAATTTTCACTTGCACCTATTTCCTATAGCAAGGCAGTTCAGCTCAACTTTTAGAGAGGAAGTTAGAATTATGGCTGGAGAAAAACAAACTTTCAGGGCTTTCTTAATAACAGAGCTTTGTTATAGTCAGAAATGAAAAAAAAAAAAAAAATCATGGCAATGTTGTATTTTGTGAGGACACCTCAACAGATTGCATGGGGAAAGGAGGAAGCAGGACAGATGCACATTCCTCCAGATGGAGAAATCTGCACCTTCCAGGGCAGTGTTTCCTGAGTGTGACATGTTTGCTGCTGTGCCACGAGACTGCTTTGGATTCCACTGCTGGGTGAAACAACAGAAGGGTAAAAAGATGAGGTTAGTTGGGATAAGCACACAGATTTCAAAACAATTTGAGCTGTTATAACTTCTCATATCTGCAAAACTCATAWGAGAATAGATAATGATCTTGCTGATCATTAGACATTTCTAATAGATGCTAGAAAACCCTGAACACTCTGTTTTCATATGAAAATATTAAGAGAAGTTTTTGTTCCCATTCAGAATAGTAGTGGTTTGGAATTCATAATTTTATCCTAAAACGATAATGTATTAAACTTTTAATAWGAAAATCTAGCTGGGATTTTAAACACAGTAACTTGACTGTCAGCCTAATACATGCTGAGGTATTTACAGCTAAGATGCAAAAMCAAAAAAGTTTTAATGACCAATTTCAAAGAATTTCCTGAAAGTGGCATTATGTTAGCTATATACAGTCCCATGGTGTTCTCATTAAATGAACTGACTGAACTGGATATTTTACTTTGAACCAATTTATTTTTTCCTGTTTAAACTTGAAGAATTATTAGTAATATCTATGAGGAATAGGAGCAAAATGTTAGTTTACTGTCTGAGTTAAACATGACATAGTTCCGTGTCCCTCAGAACAGGCAGTCCCATAACCTTTACATCCTATWATCGCACTATTAATAAAACCTGGTGCAAAGGTTTTTTATTCCTTCTCCAAGCTAGTAAAACAACTTGTTTGGAATGCGTGAACTGATTCATGAGAAATTATTAAGTCCTAAATAAATGGACTGGAGTGGTTCCTCCTTTCCTGAAGATTAAATGAYGCTCTTGTTGGAAAAGGTGATTTTACAACAAAATTAATTTGGAAACTGAAGCCTATCATGTTTGCCAAAACATAGTGCTCTGTTTGATTTTGGTTGTTCTCCCTCCTCTCCATATACCTCTCTAAAGGTATAATGATTATAAGAAGTGTGTTTATRACTTGTTTTGAAGTATGTGCACAAGACACAGCTTACCTGTAGAATTCCTTGAGCTAGATATTTGAAATGTCTCTCAACTAACTACAGCACAAGAGCACTTTTAGCAGTCACAGAAATGACTGGAATGTGAATTCCTGTTACCTGWATTCTACCAAGTTGTTAAAATTGTGTATCTCAATCAGTAGAGATTTTTAAAAAAATAAGTAAATAGGAAATCTGTGGAGGCAAGCAGATCTGGTTTTCCCCTAACAACCAGAGGTTAGGCAAYGATCATCACATTAACTCTATTTGTCATCTTGCAAAACACCCTTACAATGTTCTTTCATTTTCTGTGAAATGAAACAGCAGTATTGTGCCTCAAATGACTTCCCATTCAAAAGGGGAAATTAACAGAGGTGAAATCTGAAGCAAATGCATAAAACAATACTGAAACATCTGCACTTGTTTAGAGTTGTAYAGTTTTATAGATAAATACTTAAAGTATTTATCTATACAACTAACAGAATGTGCAGTATTAGGAAAAATGTAAATATTATGGAAGTACCTATGAAACTACTAGGAAATCTATATTAGCTTCTCACAGTTAACATACAGTACAATAAAACCTTGGATCAATGCAAAGCAGCAAGTAAGATATAGGTTCAATGGTAATCTGGAGGCATTCACTTAGTATCAAATGACAGGTTTGGCATAGAGCGTTTCTTTTCATCATGCTAAACTTAACTATATTTATACCTTACAGTAAAAACAGGAAACATCCCAAAATTCCAGAATCAAAAGGACCTGAATTTATAATATGCACCATCAGACCCAGACAAACCAAGGAAAGTGTATTTGCTGCCAGTGAGGCTTTCAGTACATCACAATGCTCCTGGTCTTTTACTCTATTTTCTACCATATAAAACATGAAAATTTACCTCCTTGTGCTCTGACTAGTGTTAAATATTTGAAAGTCATTGAAAATTAGCCAATATTCCCTTTCTGTTTTTAAGGAGTTATTCAGGAATAAGAACGCCTTGCTTTATGCTGGTATCTGTATTTTTTAGATACTTGTAGTAGTGCTGAGCTAGCATGTAATTTTATTTTAAACTTAAAAATGCAAATTTTATTTTTCCAGTCAGAAGATACCTTATGATTTTCACTTCCTTTTATCAATGACCACAATTCTGATGCAACAGAATACAAAAATTATGTCGTAGCCAATTTGTCTTTCTAAGACACAGCTGTACAGTAGGTAAGTACCTTGAGTTTTGGTGGGCGTTGGTTCAGTAATGCTATTTCCATAGTTCATTTAAAAAAAAAAAAAAAAAAAAAAAAAACAAACCAAACCAAAACAAACAAAACCAAAAAAAAACAAAGGAAGAAGAAATAAAGGAAATTGTTCAAGTCAGTGTGGTTTGATTTGAATATTCTGTTGGTCCCATACTGAACACGCAGTGCAGACAGCTTAACAACTTGGAGAGAGTGACGACAGAATGCCTAAARGATTCCAGGCCACCTTGCAATAAAATGCTACCCAGTGTAAATTTGTTTCTTCATGAATTAGGTTACTTATTTAAGGCATCTCGTTGAAATTTTTTTCTCATAATTTTATCTAACATGAAGCAAACCAACAAACAAGTTTATCAACCTCACAGAGATTTTTGCAATAGGAAGTTGGGTTTGGAGCATCTTCAGCATGAAGTGAGAAGACGGCTTGCTACCGTAAGCAGAGGGCAGCTTGAAGAAAGACAAGACTCCTGTTTGGACACTCCCCAACATAGGTGTATAATCAGGAAAACAAACAATGGAAGAGTCCGGTACTACATTCCAGTATTGGGTTGGTTTCTGTATTGTTTGCTTGGTTTTTTTTGTTGTTTTTTATTTTCCCCAGTGTGTGAAAGAACCTAACAAAAAGCTTCTGAGTGCAATTATATTTACAGAGTAAGGCTGTGGTTAGGGTGTGTCTTCATTGTTATTATTGTGTAACATAAATATCCATCCCTGAGAAAGGAGAAGGGAGACACAAATCCAACACAGTTGATTTTTAAGTGTATGWATGCTCGTATTGTGCAATCCGGTTTTACAAACTACTTTGACACCTGAGGTGAATTAAGCGGTATTTTTTCCTTTTTATTTTTAGTTTTTTTTCATTTTCTTATAAAGAAGAATGAAGAGGATCCATAAATGGTTGCAAAATATATGAAATATTGAGACAGCAGGAGTCACTAGGTGTAACATGTAAGTTTGTCCATGAGGTTAGAATAGCCACTTATGTGGTTGGGTAAAGAAAATCTGACTAGAAATTGCAGTGGGAGGCAGCTATTTACTGATTTTTAAAGAAGACAGGGTGGGAACTGAAGGAGGGGAAGCAACAGAGTTTTTTAATTGTGTGCAACACAACCAAAACTCCACGTTAGGCATTAGAGGCAAAGTGCTGACATCCAGTGCAGGTAGGCTACGGGGAGCTGGCGGGGCTGATGGTGGGGCTGGAGGCGTCCGAGCGGCTGTAGTCACTGACCGAGCCTGTCCGGGAGCCGCTGCCGCCCCTCCTCTTGAGCATGCTGGGCTGGAAGTTGGCGTGCCGCCGGGCGTGCTTGGTCAGATGGTCGCTGCGCATGAAGCGCTTCTCGCACAGCGGGCAGCTGAACTTCTTCTCGCCGGTGTGAGTGCGGTAGTGCCGGGCCAGCTCGTCCGAGCGAGCGAACTTCTTGTTACAGCCCTGCCAGGAGCATTCGAAAGGCCGCTCACCTGCGGGGTGCAAACACGGCACGGTTAGAAGGGAAGCAGTGTCTCCCGTGGGCTTTTTTTTTTTTTTTTGTACGCAGAAGTTAGAATAAAAGGGTTGGAAGCAGGGTGGATGCTACTTGGCAATAACAGGATGGAGAAGGTGTTATCCTCTGCCAGAGAGAAGGCTGCTGTGCTATTCCAAGCCATTAAAAATTGCTGTCAGTCAAGCTAGTCATATACCTTGTTTGATAATTGGATCTTCAGGTCATGCTGGGCTCCTGATCCTTTCATGGATTCACATCTCATGTCTCTTGCACTCTGTTGAACTTTATGACTTAATAATATCTGTACTGAACTTTATAGTATATTCACTTATTCTCCAAGCTGCCCTTCTATGTATGACTCAATGCTGAAGTTCAGAAGCGTGATGAAATCTTCCTCTTCAGCTATTTAAAAAAGTTACGGTAAAAATGCAAAATGGCAATTTTGAGGCACTGGATGTGAGACTCACCTTGAATTCTCCAGAGCTGTGCCTGGATTTTCTGCATTTACTCAAAGTAATAAAAGTACTCAAAGTACTCAAAGTACCAAAGTAATTTCTCTTGTTCACTGCCTTAGATCTCATTTAGAAGTGAGGTAGGGAGCACCGTATTGCAGCTGGGGACATGTGTCACCTTGTAGGTACCAATCTTTTTTTAATAGCTAACGTAAACCCCATGAGCTGTGACACTGAAGCTTGGAGCAATGAGCAGTGAGCTCCCAGAAACMGTGATCCAGTGAGCTGGTGTAATTGTGGAGAGATCTCAGCCATGGCACAGATGTCTGGTGCTGTTGCAGGGCTGTGTGGGAGCTCTGCACTGTGATAGATGTGCAGACWGGGAAGCTCTGCACAGGCTGCAGGGAGAAGTAGAATTGTTGCTGGGTAGATAGGTATCTGGAATTTATTCCCAGCTTCAACACTGATGTGCTGCATAGTTGGGCGCCTCATAATATTTGCTTCCATCCTTAGTTTCTCCATTGGATAAAAATGAAAATGTTAAATCATTAAATATGCTATTATATCTGCATATTGRTTTGGTTCTTACTGTCACTGAGTCAGAACATCACATATTCTTTAATTGTTATTAATTGAGAACATCTTATTCTTTTGTGAATACGCAGGCTAGCATTTTTCATAGTTGTAATTTTAATAACTTCCTACTTGCACTAATCCTTATGTTTCTAATTCTGAATAGCCTGTCCAAGAGACCCAGGGAGCTATCTAAATTCTGGGCCAAAATAAGAAAAAGAATTATCTCCACAGTAAACAGCAAAGAAAGAAAGAAATTYGCCCCCTGGAAAAATGTGATACACCTTCATTAAAACTGTCTGAGAGCAAAACTGACCACAGCAAGTCTTCAAGCTAAGCAGCCAATAATCTGCTTTAAATTCAGATTTGGCAATAAGTTTTATCTCCAGGATCTTCTTAGAAGGCTCCTACTCAGAAAAATAGTTTCATAGTCCTTTTCTCCCTGAAGCCTCCAAGATACTTAGCCAAATCTCAAACAGTGTCTCAATGTACAGACAAGGAAGTCTTCTTTAAATAGGATTTTTTTCAAGAATCTGAAGAAAACTATTGTCCCTGATGTTTCCTTGATTACTTAGGAGAAAGACCAAGGCTCATTATTCTTTAGCACATTTGGTGGATTTCATTACACCTCCAAGTGCAACGCATAATGCAATGGTAGTACCTGTGCAGTACACACAGAGATTTTTGTATGGAGAACTGTGGGGGCYGAAAGCCAGCATTGCAGCCCTGCAAGATCTGAAGTTGACTTCAGCCGAGAATTGTATCCCTAAGATGTACTAAAAACAGAAGCAAATCTGAAAATTCAGGTAAAAACCGACAAAATAAAAAAAAAGATGTTACCAAAGCAGCAGCCTTAAGCTAACTATAATAAATAAAGAATGTTGGAAAAAAAACAAAACCAAATAAAACAAATATCAAAAACAAAATTTAAAAAAAAAAAGCAAAAACTAACAACACAACCACTTCTACAACTATTATAACACGCCAATCATATACTAAAAAATAAAAAACCAAACTGCTAATTAACCAATAAATAACTACCATTTATGCAAAAAACCTAATATATACACTGTTACTAAATAAATAAAAAACCCTCAACCCAATAAAAAAAGTCATGACTCATTATTTGTGTCACGTTGTCCGTCTCTACTGTGACAGAGAACCATGACCACCCCCTCTTAGGGACTGGTAAAAGGCAGCAAAGATGAACAGAACTGCTTTCAAGTGGCTTTCCTGACCTAAAGCCTAAAAAACTTCGGGTTCCACAAATGAATTTAAGAATAAAACCACAACCTACTGGATTTAAAGGATATATTCTTGTTGCTTAAAATAACCCATGCAAATCCATTCAATGTCCTCCTTAGCCTTATCCTGCCTGCAAACTGTCAGGGACTGAACTCTCCATCTGCTGCTAGAAAGGGGAAACAAATATATTTTGGCTGTTTGTCATATATCCAATTAGRTGTTCCTAGATGTGTTCCTGCCTGTGGTGGGTCATGACTGTGGTGTGACACCCCTGTTGCATGACCGCATTCGCTGGTCTTCTCCCTGTGTTTTGGTCACACTATAGATAAGCATCTAAGAGGACTTTGGAACCCTTGGGAAGAAGGGCAGTGAAGCATGGTCTGAGGGTACATCGGSCCTGCAGATTCAGAGTTCCTCAACCCTGACTTATTGCATCATTTTTTTGGTAAAGCAATGGTTTCTGGATGTTTCCATTGCCTGAGTCAATTTCTGTGGTTTTTTCATTACAAATGGTATTATCAAATGTTCTCCACTTGAAGAATTGTCTCATGAAATGAGTGCTTTCAGACGAGGAAGGCAAAAGTTTTCATGCAATGTTTTGCTTCTGCTGTTGACAGCACTATGGAGCACACACAGAATGGTACTTTTTTTTCAATTTGTTTAATGGCACTAGCTGCTCCTGTCTGTGATTCTATCATTTGAGAGCCAGCAGCAGGAATACAGTTCCTAATGGGAGAGGTTCTGAAGCAGGACGGTGTAAGATCAGTGTTATCCAGCATTAGTAGGAAATAAAGGCATTGCACAACTTCTCTCCCCCTCTCCTCACTGCACATCAGATCTGGATGAGAACATTCAGGTTCCCACTCACGTCTGATTTGATGTTAATGATGGTGGTGAGGATTTGGGTGCTGAGCCAAAAAATGTGACATTTCTTCCACTATATTTCTACCATCCCTGTCCTTCTCCTTCTTAGGGACCATTTCCCCCCTCAGTCCTCTCTAGTGTTGATTTTATATCTTCTTGGTACTTGTCTTTATGTGTCTTGGCCAAGTGGTTTTTTACTGACAGCTGACATCACTCCAGGAGTGGTAATAGTTCTCYAGAATACTTCCCAGCTTTGTTGAGGTTTAGCAATTCCTCTTCAAAGAAAATCTGTATTGTGAGGAAATGCTGCATGCCTTGTGTGAAGATGTAAGAGTCATTATTGTTCATAAAAAAAAAAAAATAGTACACAGTCTGGAACAAAGTTGCTGTGGGATATTAATTAAGGCAAGACCTAGCTGCTGCTCCAAAACCACACATGGAAATTCACAGTCTGTCATCATTCTCATCTCTCAAACAGAAGGGATGTGGATTTCTGTGTTTTCTGTGCAGGTAAATTATATAAATGTCTTTTTACCAGCAGTAAAGCAATCAACAGAATGAGAGATTATATGAATTGATTGCCTAATCTCATTAGGGAATATGCAGCCACAGTACAATGTTCCTGCACAAGCAGTAACCCATGGACATGTTGTACTCAACAGAGCYTTCACCATTAAAATGGCTGTAACACAATACAACAAGGATTCTTGCAGCTCCATTTTAGGCAATGCTGAAGTTAGAATTTTACCTCTATACACTGAGTACAGAATGTGATCTTACAGATTAAAGTAGAAGTGTTATCAAGTATCTTAGATATGGCAGGAAACATATAAAGCATGTGAATATGTATATTGAGGGTTTTAATGCTGTGCCTTGGCAGCAGCAGTATCTTTGTGCCTTATGAGCCTTACTAATAGGTCTCAAAGGGTCCTAAGTCTCCAAAAGATAAATATACTTGAAAATTAATTAATCAAAAAGCAACTCCASCTTCTTTATCTTTGGAGAGGCAGGTGAGAGATGCCTTTCAAAGATAAGGAATACCGTAAATTATTTTTTTACAATTTTAAATAGGTTTGGATTTCCATGTTCCAAATCCTATTAAATGGTAACCTTTCTAGGTCCTTTGCCAGAACACGACATCACATAACTTGTATTGAAGTTACACAAACTGATGGAAAAACATCACATTTGAGAATTAGATTCAGCTRATCTTAACCGAAAATTACACAAGCAAGAACATTTTGGCTTTTTCCCGGACTCCACCCAGTCCAAAAAAAAAAAAAAAAAGATGTAGTGTAAAGCCACATGAAGAAACTTGCAGTGCTCACCGAGTGAAAGTACGTGAGCTCTGCAGGTGCACGGAGTTCTGAATTCCTTTCAGGAGCACAGGTCTTGCTGCTCATGCTGCTCATATTGTCTGGCAGAGCAGACTGCCAAAGGAAACCCAGAGTTGCCAGGGCTATAGAAACAGCATTAAAAAATGCACCTCTCTCTTTTCTTGCTGGAAGGGATTCAAAAGCAACTAGAGCCAGCCTGTTCTTATGATATTACATAAAGGTCCTTTGTATTATTCTGTATTTGTCAATCATTATATAGTAAGGCAACTGTATGTAGTTATGGGAAACAAAAAMTCCAGAGATGGTGGCATTAGATCTGGTGTCTGCTGAGCTTGGTTTGTACAGCTCTTTTAGTGCACATATAGTTTTAAGGACTCCTTTCCTATATAGTGAGACTCTTGAACAGACCCTGGAGTAATCTGCTTCCTGCTTCACCAATACATCTGTCTGATATCCACAATTTAAAAAATATAGGAAGCACTGTGTAGACCTACTCCAAAAATAAT